CTGATTAGCACAAGAAAAAAAAAAAACTGCTTCCCCGCAATTTGCCAAGTGGAGCAAACAGCAAGTTTCACTTTCAATTTCCAAATGGAAATTGAAAGAGGCCAAAGGGTTGGGCCCAGTGGGTGGGTCTACATTCAGTGTATAAGACACTACAGGGGGAAAGAGGTGCGTCTTATACTCCGAAAAATACGGTAGATTCATTCCCTGCAGACAGAATTTTGCCAGACTAAAGCACCATAAAGCTTAGACTCCGGGAGCTATTAAGGAGGAGCCGTCTTCACCCTATTTCTCTCACACCAACTATCTCAACTGCGTTGTCTCTTGCTTCTCTGGAAACCCTGTCAACTCTGAAGCTGAAATGACCAGAGCCATATTGGAGCTTCAGTGTTGCCACACTAGAGCTGAGGGACAGGGAGGGGGGATTAGAGATAGAGGGGTTTGTGTAGCCAAAACAAATTACTTTCTCTTGAGAACCAAGGACATTCTCAAACCTGGACCGTGGAAGAAAAAGATTGGACCATGTGATTGATTGCTTGAGGAAAATGTTCTCTTTTAACTAGGTGAAAACCGTGGGAACCTTTAGAGTCAGGTTTCACCAGATATGTGCCAACATGATTTTTCCAATAAATCTATCCTTTGAGATATTTATCTACCTTGGTTTTGCTTGCTATAAATCTATTACTTGGAACCTGACACCCTATTTTTCTTACACCAACTATCACAACTGCATTGTCTCCTCCCTCCTGGGAATCCAGACCCCATTCTGTCACACTTTGCCCTTTTGTAAACTGTAACCGCTGCCTCTGCTACCCTGGAGTCCAGGAACAATCTGGATGTGGATCCAGAAACTTTATTCCTGAATAACAAGCAGGCCACTCGGCACTTAGAGAGGGACATAGACTCCAAATTTGAACTGTGAGCGAGATTGCTCGGGAAAGTCACTAACCGAGTTTGTTTCCACAAATTGACTTCCGGAGATAAGCACCATGATGGTGATGAGGTGCCACCGGAGGCGGCGGAAGCAAAGAAGTTTCCACACTGTCATGTTCTTCTGGCTGCTTTCGGCAAGGTGTTCTTGACGAAGTTCTTCCATCTCGTCCTCCACATTTTCTTCCCCTCTCAGCTTCTTCAACACTAAAGGAGGAGGAAGAGGAGGGGAAGACAAGAACATGTACAAAGTGTTTCTGACAGAGGCTTCCCAAGAGCCTGAAGCAGACTCCTGGTCCTGAGAAAAAAAAACCTTTTCTTAATTGACTGTGAATTCTGCTCATTCACATACAGCAAAGTCTTTCAAGGGAGGATTTACAGTCACAGACCTTATCTGGCTTGGAGAGCTGCCAGGGCGATCTCTGCAGAACTTGGCAAGGAGTCTCGGAGAGTCATGAACCAATTAAGCGAATGAATTGTGTCCTGCAAACTCCACTCCCCTTTCACTACTCTTTTATTTCCTCTGGGAGGGGCCATTCATCGCCCACCAGTAGCCTTACTCACAAGTCGACTCCTGTTCTCTAGCCGTTCCCTTCGGCTGGCAACTCTGCGCATGCACACACTGGGGACAGGCTGCAGCTGTTCATCTCCCTCACTGATGTCTGACTCTGAAGGCAGCTGATAACTAGCATACGGCTGTGGC